GTGCAACAATGAATGAATGGAATCCCAAAATCTCTGTAGATGTTCATTGAAATGAAAAATAAACAACCTAAATTAAAAAAAAATATCTTCACTCGAGTCATGTACACTTTAGTTTTCACAGTGACATCACGGGTTTTTTTAACACTTTAAAGAAGTCTTTTATATCAGATCTGCACAATGCAAAACACCATTTTCTTTCTTTGTGTGCTATTTTTTTTCAGTTTATGATGCTTTATACAACTTTAGACTTACAGTGTCTTTCTACTGTTAACAGACAAATCTCAAGTATAACCCTTAACCAAAGAAAAGTATAGATCTCATACCATCTTCTCCATAATAAATTATAGTTAATACTGATTTCCATCCAGCTGACTGATGCACAGTGCCTCATGTCTTGAGAAAGAACCTTGCCCCACCCTGCACCATCCTCAGTCTCCAGCGTGCCAAAGCTCACAGCCTGTGTCAGTCCATCACAGCAGAAAACAGAAGGAACCATGTCAAACAATCCTGTCAATGGCCTTTCCCTCCTTCACAAACATTTCCAATAATGATGTCCTTTCCCAAGGTCTGCCCCTCTGACAACACAGCCTCACTATCTTTGTCTCTAAGGAACATTCTGGCTGCATCTCTTTCAACACAGATTAGTTCTTTTGACAATCTGTGGTACTTTCCATTCAATATTCTTCACCAACATCACAATTGAAAGGCATCAAATCATCTTTGGACTTCTTTATTCATTTTCCAATTTTCAAATGTTTAAGAAGTAATGGAAAACAGCATGGCTTGGGTCAAGTAACATCCTTATTTTTTAAAGATGTCCTTTACAGCAGATTTGTCCAATGCAATTCATCTTTTGATTTCTAGACTGCTGCTCCCATAGGTGCTGATTGTTGAGATACAGTACATCAGATCTATTGCTCAAAATTACTTTTGGCAGGGACATGCCAAACAAGTGTGTCAGTCTATTCAATCCACAAAAGGAAAGACCAGTCACGTCATTCTACCAGGTTTAAATTGAGCAGGCTCAGCTGCAGATATTCTGAAAATCTTACTGCCAGTCAGAAATAAGAAGCCGAGAAACAGGGAATCCTTTGAGTCCAGAGATTCTTGCACCAGTCAGACAGGGACTTATAGAACAACAGCAGCCATAGACAAGAACAACACGAGACAGAACTGACTTTGGGACTTCTACGCCTAGAAGCAGAGCCAGGAGCCTTCATCTAAGCTTGCTGGAGGACTTGAGCGAGCTGGGGTGGGGACAGAAGCCAAAACTGGCAGAACTCAGAGCTTTGTAAAACAGACCTAAAGTTGCAAGGCTGCAGGCTGAAGAGCCTGTGAGCACACTTCAGCAGCTGCCCTGAGAGACTGCATTCTGTTGACAATTTTAATTGTAACCTGTCAATTTCTCTAATAAACCCCAAAATAATGCATATGGTTCTGTGAGGTTTGTGTAGTGACTGCCAGAGATTTTGGATCCAGTAGAGCACTAGAATTGCTGCTGAAATTAGTAGAAATAGGCATGGGAGCATAGGGAGCATGTCTGACCTCTTGAGAATTAGGTCTGTGTCATGGGTGCCATTGGTGGGAAGAGTCTCCACTTGTGGAATTAGTAGAAATCAGATTCAGTGGTCCCCACACCACCTTTGCACTTTTGACAATTGTGACTGCAAGTAAAATTTAATCCTCCAATCTGACACCACAGTCTTCTTCACATAGTCCAGTTTATTGAACTATTTACTCAGTATACAGACTGAATAGGTATGGAGAAAGGACACAACCCCGATGCACCTTTCCTGATTTTAAATTATGCAGTGTTCCCTTGTTGTGTACAGACATCTTCTTGGCCTATGTATGAGTTTTGGTTGAACATAATTAAATTTTCAAGATTCTAAATTTTTCTCAATGCTATCTATCCATAATTTATTATTATCTATATTGTCAAATGCCTTTGCACAGTCAATAAAACCAGGGAAACATCTTCTGGTAGTCTCTGCTTCCAGACAAGCTCCACCTGAGATCAGCAATGATATCCCTCAATGCCATGGTCTCCAGTGAATGTGGCTCATTTCTCTGGTAGTTCCTTGTTCAGGTATTCCTGTACAGCTTAGAATTATCTTTAGCAAATTCCATTTGTGTGTGATATTAGTGATATTGTTCTATACTTTTCACATTTTGGATCATGTTTGATCATGCTTCTTTGGAATAGGCACATAATATGGATCTGTGCTAATCAGTTGGCCAGGCAGCTGTCTCCCAAATATTTTTTTTTAATAAAAGAGTATGTCCAGCATTGCATTATCAGCAGTGAAACATCTAAATTGGTATTCTGTCCATTTTTAGAGCCTTGTTTTTCAATGCTTCAGTGTGGCATGGGCTTCTTTATTCCATATCATCAGTTCTAGTATGTCCTACCTCCAAAAATGCAAGAAAGTTGACTCTTTTAAATTCAGTTACCTGTGTATTTATTCCATCTTTTTTAAAAATAATGATTTGAGTGAAAGCTTACAAGCATATTGTCTTTCAATCACTTATACACATTTAGAAGTGTAAGAACTGAGAATTTGTTATAATCCACACAGCCTTTGCATAGCTGATAAAACACAAATAAACATTCTTCTGGTACTCTCTGCTTTCAGCCAAGATCCACCTGACATCAGTAATGATATCCCTAGTGCCATGGCTTCTTCTAAACCCTGCTTGTATTTTTGGCAGTTTGGGGTTGAAGTATTATTCTAGTCGTTTGTTGTTGTTTTTTATAATCTTCAGCAAGATTTTGCTTATATCTGAAGACAGGACCTCAATAAGAAAAACTGACAACTACGCTGGGGCCAATCAAGTTCTCTGTACTGCAAAAATTGGGTACCCCAAGCCCTTCTTGTGCTTGTCTGCCAAAAACTCCTATTTACCCTGAAAAGCCGAGTTCAGATGTCACCTCCCTCTAATGACCTTGAATTCCTGCACCCAGATAAATCCTGTCCCAGAACACTGGGAAATGAATGCATCAGTCTCAGCATGGTTGCCTTGCAGAGTTACTAATTTCTATCTGGTGTCCCAGTAGTAAAGAGTTAAAGTGCCAACACAAAGACATGAAGTTCTAATTAACCAGCTGCTCTGTGAGAGAAAGGGAGGCAATCTTTTCCTATGTGATTTATAGTCTCTGAAAACCTACTGGAGGGTCAGCTATAAGATGGTTCTAACTCAAACACACATAGCAACAATAAACATTATATTTACTTGTTATGAAGGAGCTGGGACTGCATCTTAACAAAAATCTCTGTCACTCCAGTTCTTCAGACGTACCCAGAATTTAGAAAATGTTCAATAAGTAGTAGTTGTACAATAAGGTGAGTCAGCTGGAATAAATTCTTTAGTCTAGAACTAACACTAATCTTGGGGATCCAAGTAAAAAAGAGGATCTCTTTGGCCTGACAAGGATTTTCAGAATTCTACCTGCTCTCCTCATCTTGCCTGATTCCATCTGTGTCTTATACGGTCCTAGAACTGCCCTGAATTCTTCCCCTCTCCATGAACTCTTTCTTCCTTCAGACACAGGAGGAGGGTAGCCACCTGAAACAAAATCTGAACCCAGAGCTGCTAACATATACAGGTGACTGGATGCTCCAAATAGAACTCCTGTATAATTTGTGAGACCCAATGCAAAATGAAAGTATGTGGTCCCTTGTGAAAACCCCATAACAAAATGTATGAAGGTGACTGCAGGGCATTAAACAAGCATGGGGGGGGGACTCCCTGTGTAGAAGCCAAGTGATCAGATAGGAAGCATAGCTGTGAAGTCAACCTTGTTCTCAAACAAAGCCCTAATTCCTAGATGCTAAAGCTAAGGTAAATCCTCAGCCTCAAGTTGCAGCAATGTCTGCTGCATTGTGCATCATTGCTGACCAGAACATTGGGGAAAACATTGTAAAAAATAGACAAAAAATTGTAAAAATTTAAAAAAAATAAGGCATATGAACATTGGCTTTTTGCTATAAGGGAGTACATGCTCTCTCTTTCTGTGCCTGGCAGTAAAGGGTTCCAGGCAACAGGACCACCTGATGAGAAGAGCCTGGTTCCCAAGTCACTCTGGAAAAAGACCACCACAGGAGACAATGACATACCTGTGCCTACAAAGCAAGAAGAACTAACTTTCTACTGGATTGTTTTAAAGCAGCCTAGATCTAGATTCTTTATAAAATGTGGTATGAAATGAAATCAAGGGCTCATATGCAGCTATTTAGTCATCAACTAGATGTCCCAAATGTCTTTATCCACATCTGAAAAGCTTAAAGAACTAAGTATCTGGGGGTTACTAGCCCCAAGCCTGCCTGAGCTCAAGAGGACAGTCACAAGAAAGCAAGGTGTTCATAGCTGTACCTCACCTGGCAGGGACTCCAGCAGCTCCTGGACAACTGCAGTGTGTCCAAAGCGTGTGGCCACCACAGCAGGATTGTCATCGGTCGGCTCTGTGGACAGCTCCACCCGTCTCTTGATGAGCAGATACCGCACTGTCTCCAGGTCCCCATAGGCTGCAGCAATGGCAAGAAACTGACCCTGTGTGAGAGAGCAGGATCTGGATGAAGTGAGTTCTATCTGGAGCTGACAACACAATGGGCTTTAAAGAAATGTGTTAAAGCAAGCTGAAGAACAGACACCATTCAGCTCTGCCCCTGGGGATGGCTGGTAAGCACTACAGTGTGGCTCAAATAAAGCATGCATGAAGTGCGCACAAGCTTTAAAAGATCACACGTCATCAGTAGCCATGGATCTGTTCCAGTCAATTATCTGGTACTTTGGAGGGATCACTGCTGTTTTGCTACACCACCCAGGATGTTCAAGCTCAAGTGGAAGGTAGCAGGACAGCTGGTGCAGCTCAAGTGAGGTAGAGGAGCAATTTCTGGAAGGGGAAAAGCCAAGGCTTGCCGGTTTTCGATTCAAGTACCCTGGGGAGATCACTGCTATTTCATTAGACCACAAGGGATCCCTTAAGCTCAAGCTTAAAAAGGAAACACAAATATACAAATCCTTCACAAAACATTGCTATACCCTGGGACATTATATAGTTACAATGACCTAACATCTACAAAGAAAAGACTAAAATAATGTCAAGAAAGCAGCAATCTGCCTCAGTTATCACAAAAAAAGCCAAAATAACACAATTTCTTAAAAAAGCAGACCAAATGAACCCCAGATAGAGAAAACCAGAAGAAATATGTTGATAGGGAATTATTTGAACAGCTACAGAAGAAGATGCAAATGATGGAAGAAGCAATTAAGAAAGTAAATACCCCAGAGACAACAGTCCAGAAGAAATATATTGATGATGAGTATCTTGAAAAGCCATAGAAGAAAATGCAAAAAATGGAAGAAATAATTGATAGTATAAATAAAGAGGTACAAGAACTTAAAATATCATCAAAAGACAGTGAGGGAACAGCCAATACAGTACTGGTAATAACAGAAAAGTATGATAATGCAATCCAGAATATTAAGATAAAAATGGCAGAAGTGTCCAACATGCTGGTAGCACACACACAAAAAAAAAGTAGAACTGAAGAGATAGAACAAAGAATCTGTGAGCTGGGAAACAAGAGCCTCATTGAAAACATACTAGAAGAAATATCAGAGATGAGACAAAAGAAAATGAAGAAAACGTTAGAATCATGTGGGATGATATAAAATGGAATAACATACGCATGACTGGAATTCCAGAACAGAAGAGTGACTGAGAAGACTGTGAAAGAAGTTGTTGTTGTTTTGTTGTTTAATGTCGTCGAGTCGTAGACGACTCATAGCGACCCTATGAATGAACAGCCTGAACACTGTTCGTACATAGAGTTTCTGGAGCCAAGCCATTTTGGAAGTGGATGCCGCTCCTGCTTCCAGGCTTGATTTAGTTAGGAAGTTCCAGCCAACACTGTCCACCATGGGTGCCCATTACCACGATTGGCACATCGCTGTCACAGGCTTCAGCATCACAGCAACCACGAGTTACCTCTGTACAGCAACACACAAACCAGTGCTTACCACCTAGAAGAATGTTTGACAGGAAGACAATTTGAACCTGGCCAGGGGGCACAGATGAAAATCACCCACCTTCGGCTTGGTAGCACAACTTCCTTCCACTAGGCCAATGTAGCTCTCTCTTGGTTGTCGTCATTGTTATTGTTATTTAATGTCGTCGAGTTGTAGACGACTCATAACGACCCTATGAATGAACAGCCTGAGCAGGTACTAGTACTGAAAGAAGTACTAGAATAAAACTTGCCAGGTATTTTTGAAGAATGGGGAAATCCACACTCAAGAAGCACACAGCAAATGTCAATCAAACAGACTAGAACCAAAAAGAAAAACATCAAGACAGTCAAATTCTTCAAATTAAAAGATAAGGATAGAATTCTAAAAGCAGCACAAGAAAAACAAAGTGTCACTTACAAAGGGGAAACAATTAGAATAAGTTCTGATTTCTCAGCAGAAACCATGGGAGCTAGAAGACAATGGAATGGCATATACAGAAAGCTGAAAGAAAACAATTGCCAGCCAAGGATCCTATACCCAGCAAAGTTCTCCATAAAACAAAACAAACAAACAAACAAAACAACAACAACAACAAAAAAACCACAGGAGAAATTAGATCCTTTGCAGAAAAGAAGGAACTTAAGGAATTTGTGAAACAAGACAAAAACTACAAGAAATTTTAAGTGAAGTCCTTCACATAGTGATGCCAAAGGAAAGTGCATGGACCACAGAAATCAGAAACAAAATGGCAAAAGTAAAACTTGGCCCGATAATAATTACAGTTAATGTGAATGGAATAAATGCACCAATTAAGAGAAAAAGAGTAGCAGAATGGATCAAAAAACAAAGCCCATCAATATTTTGCCTACAAAAGACACATCTAAAAAAAGAAGAAAAAGACAGACTCAAAATCAAAGGCTGGAAAATATACACCAAGCAAATGACAACCTCAAAAAACCAGGAATGGCAATATTAATCTCTGATAAAATAGATTTCAGAATGAAAACTACCATAAAAGATAAGAAAGGGCATTACATACTGATTAAAGGCACAATATATCAAGAAGACATAATCTTGGTCAACATTTATGAAACAATTAATAGACCTGCAAAATACATAAAACAATGGTTAGCAGAACTGAAGAAAGAAATGGACAACACCACAATAATGGTAGGAGATTTCAACATATTACTATCACCAAAATATAGGTAAACCTTAAAGAAACTCAAGAAAGATGCAGAAGATCTAAACTATACAATCTATCAGTTTGACCTTGCAGATGTATTCAGGGAACTACACCGAACTAAAACTCAATTTCACTTTTTTCTCAAGTGCACATGGTACATTCTCCAGAACTGATCACATATTAGTACACAAAGTCTCAACAAATTAAAAAACACTGAAATAACACAAAGTATCTTCTCAGACCACAATGACATAAAATTAGAAATTAAACACATGAGGGTAAAGCTTACAAAATCATCCAAGTGGAAGCTAAATAACTTTCTACTAGAACATGATTGAGTTATAAAAGAAATAAAAAAAATGAAATTAAAAAGTTCCTTGAAACAAATGAAAATACAACATACCAAAACCGCTGGGATACAGCTAAGGCAGTCCTCAGGGCGCAGTTCATAGCAATATGAACACACATAAAAAAGAAAAAAGAAGAAAAATAAATTATTTAACTCAACACTTTGATCAAATAGAATAAGAACAACCATCTAATCCTATAGCCTCTAGAAGAAAAGAAATTATAAGGATAAGAGCTAAAATCAATGAGACTGAAAACAGAAAAACAACTGAAATCATCAATAAGACCAGGAGCTGGTTTTCGAAAGAGTCAATAAAATTGACAAAACACTGGCATACTTAACAAAAGGGGGGGATGAGAGAAGACACTGATAAGTCAATTAAGAAATGATAGAAGTGACATCAAAACAGAGCCAGATGAAATGAAGCTATGTCAGATTACAAAATACAAAAGCTATACTCTGATAAATTTGAAAACCTAGAGGAAATGGACAAATTCCTTGAATATCATGCCCTACCTATATTGACATTGACAGATATAGAACACTTGAACAGATTCATCACAAAGGAAGAAATTGAAAAGGACATAAAAAGACTTCCCCATAAGAAAAGTCACAGATGAATTCTACCAAACATTCAGAGAGGACCTATCACCAATTCTACTTAAAATATTTCAAAAAATTGAAAAGGAAGGAACACTCCCAGAGTCATTGTATGAAGCAAGTATAACCCTAATACCAAAACCAGGTAAAGATATTACCATAATAGAAAACCACAGAACAATATCTCTCATAAATATAGATACAAAAATCCTAGCCAGTAGATTCCAAAAGCACATTAAAAAATAATTCATCATGACAAAATGGGATTCATAAAATGCATGCATGGATGTAAGATATCAATGTAATTCACCACATTAACAAAGTAAATAATAAGAACCGTATGATCTTAGCAATTGATGCAGAGAAGGCATTTGACAAAATACAACATTCCTTCCTGATTAAAACACTCAGGAAAATTGTAATAGAAGGTAATTTCCTGAACATAATGAAAAGTATATATGCAAAACCAAGATAACATAATTCTCAATGGAGAAAGACTAAAAGCATTTTCCTTGCAAACAAATACCAGAAAAGGATGCCCGCTGTCATCCCTTCTATTAAAAATTGTATTGGAAGTGCTTGCTAGGGCAATATGACAAGAGGAGGAAATAAAAGGCATCCAGGCTGGCAAAATAATTGTTATATGCAGACAACATGATAATGTACACAAAAAAACCCAAAAGATTCAACAAAAAACCTGTTAGAGCTAGTAGGCCAGCTTAGTAGAGTGGCAGGATATAAGGTCAATATCCAAAAATCAGAGGGATTTCTCTACAGTAACAAAGAGAATTCAGAGAAGGAAACCAAGAAAGCAACACCATTTATAATAGCCAACCACACTTGGGAGTTAATCTAACCAGAGAAACAAAAGACCTGTACAAAAAATACAACAGAATATTTCTGCAAGACACAATAAAAAACCTTAGTGATAACAATAAGAAAAGAGAATGAAATAAGAGGTATCCAATTTGGCAAAGAGGAGGTAAAATCATCTCTCCATGTAGATGATATGATAGTATATTTAGAAAACCTTAAAGACTCAGCAAGAAAACTACTGGACATAGTTGACCAATTCAGCAAAGTGGCAGGATACAGTATCAACATACAAAATCAGTTGGATTTCTCTACAGTGACAAAGAGAACACAGAGCTGGAGCCAAGAAAATCAATACCCTTCACAATAGCTAGTCACAAGATTAAATTCTTGGGAGTAAATCTAACCAGAAGCACCAAGGATTTATTCAAAGAAAATTACAAAACATTACTACAAAAAACAAAAAGAAACCTTGAGAAGTGAAGAATATGCCTTGCTCATAGATAGGAAGACTTAATATTGTGAAAATGACAATACTACCAAAGGCAATTTACATGTTCAATGTAATCCCAATACAAATACCAATCC